ATCATTTGCTTAAATAAAAATATGATTAAAATTCATACAAAAAAAGTGTGCGTAAACTTTTGGAGACCCTCTGTATAGTGTATCAGAGTTAATGCAAAATTCCAAAATTCCAGTACAATTTTCTTTGATGAATTTCCACGTTTGATTCATAATCTGATAGATGATTGAGTATAGTATTCATTTTATTAACATAGATAGTCTTCAAGCATACGAATAGATTTGAAACAATAAATCCAGACACAGAGTAAATTATATTTGAGGAATCTTTCAAAAAACAATTCAGATCTTAAGATTGGAATCGATTAAAGAGAATTACCGAAGGAAAACTGAAGAGCACAAAGTACATGTTAAGTTCCTTTTATTTTTTTGATAATTCTGTCAATTAAACCTTATTACTTTAAGGAGCTTTTTTCATAGGCTTTATTCGTTGATTTAAGTATTGAAAATTCATAGTAAGATATTTTTAAAAAAGATTTTCTTTTTTAATGAGTGAGACTAATTCGTGGTATATTTGTATGGTGTTTCTTCAGGTAGATAAGTAATGGCACTTTATTAGCGGTGAATATCAAAGATTTACCAAACGGAGATCAACCGACGATAAAGATCAGGCTTGTTTCATTGGATATGAGAGAATCTACAAAATATATAATATATATTATTTGTTCAAAAGAAATGGTTTCCCACCGAATCAGGAATGATATTTCCTAATGAAGCTTATTTCCAAAATAATAATATATTCTCTGACTACGAAAATCAAAATTTAAAACTTCATGCGTTCATATGTAGTGCAACTCTTGGGCGTTGAAAGGTGAAAAAAATAATTATTACTGATATATATAATTCGTAATATTTAGACAACATGACTAAATTTCTGAAAATATTAATATACAGTATTTGATCAGAATCCAAGCATTTGAAAAACAAATACAGACATCTGGCCTAAAGAATATAATGTAGATTCAAATTAAGGAATTCAATGCTTTATTATTTGGTTCTTATAGCACTATACTGTGAAATACCAATGATTTGATAAGGAAAAAATGGGTCTCATAATGCATCGGAAGGTACATCTATACTAATTTATATTATTTTCTCATTGAATTACCTATGCAAAAACAAATAACATAAAAAATTTCATTTCTTTTTGTAGAAATATTTTTAATTGGTCTTGGTTTGAATATTCACGCACGCTTAAAACTATCAGCATTATCTATTGATCGAATTATTCGTAAAATAGCTCAAATTTTTATTGATAATATTAATAAAAATATTAGAAATTATAATCCAACTAGGGATAACTCAGGTGTAACACAGTCTTTAGTAATGAACATCAAAGCTGTAAGTCAAGATTTCTGCCGCTTGGTGTTCGTTTATATACTAGTATTGAAGAAATCAAAAGTAGGCATTTATTATCCATTGCGAGATGTGGATAACGTAAAGGAAATTTTTGAATTTTTGGCCTCACAACAAGCTTTAATTGGACGATTCTTAATGGTCAAAAATTTATTCTGATTGAAAATAAAGCTCGATCTGGTATAATTATTCGTACAAGTCACGTATTTGCATCCTTATCATTTTAATCCAGAAGAATGGTATATTATCTTTACTTATATATATGTTTTTCTTTATCTAAAATGGTTTAAGGTAACCCTTTCCCTTTTTGTTCCTCTATTTTAGATATTCTTATATATCTCAAAAGATTTTGTTCTGTATTTTTAAAATAAAATGTAAAGAATGAAAAATTATTTAAGTTTTCATATTTATTAGGAAAATGACTTATGAAATACCGCAGAGGTACGTATTTAAGATGGTTTACTTTTTATCTCTATAAGATAAATCTCTTTCTTAACTATTTAGTACTATCTAATTAGTCAATCTTTAATCCTATTCTGTTATTATGTTAGAGCATAAATGCGTTATGCAACATCTGCATTTAGACATTTAGACAAAAAATTACTCTCTCTTTCTTTTCTTAAAAAATAAGAATAGGTAACAAAAATTCTGTTTTTGAAACAAAATGGTTCATAACCGTCAACAATAGCAATTGCAACAACAGCAGTAACTTGTAGATATGAGAGAATTATGATGATAAGTTCGAAAAAATCTTTGTGAGAGTATAAATGCTTTAAGGAGGTAAGGATTTAATTTTAATTTCTACATAAATGAAAAAAAAAATAATTTTTACAGACATTTTTATTTATACTTTCAAAATTATTATTAACATTGTTACAAAATTTAAGAAAGACAATCTTATCTTGATATCTGCCTCCATTCTTTCAAGCAGAATCTTAGAATTTATGTCTGAATTTCCATTGACCAGAGAAAACAAAAACTAAAATTTACTGTATGTCGATCATTTGTCCCAATTAAAACAAACATATGAAGCAGAGATGACTCCAAAAAAAAAGAATAAAGTATTAGAAGGAATGCTTATCGATAAATATAATTCCTTTTAAATGAATAGGAAGAGAAAATTTACGAATAGGTGTTGACATAACAATAGTATGTACGAAAATTCACAAGCTAAGCTATAAAGGGTAAGATGCCGAGATGAAACTAGCAATCAGACTATAACAACAGCTATTATGATGGAAGAAATAGGAGTTAAATTTGTTCCTAAATGCCAGCAAAAAAAAAATTTCACAATCTTATTTTATTTTATTTATTTTTGCAGCAATAGCAGACACAAGAAGAAGAAATTGCAAAAGTAAATGACATAAGTATAGAGTCATCTCAGATAGTGTCTACCGGTAGGAGGTGCTATGTACGAAAACTCACAAGATACAGCTATAAAGGTAAAATTACCAACCTGTAGAGGTAGCGAGCAATAGCAACATATGCAATAGAAACTTGATAGAAAGAAATCACTACAAGATACAAGATTTTGCTGCAATTATTAAGGTGAAGCTTGGAAGAGGATAAATTGTCAAATAGGCAAGCTACATTTAAATTTAGTTTTATAAATGCAAATGTAGATTTGTTTATTTCACCACATTAGCAACAACAGGAGGTTCACAATTCCATTTAAACAAAATCTTGTGAACTTATTTTTTTATAATTGGACTTTATTCAGAAAGCATTGGTTTAATTATCTACCTGTTTGGATCGTTAATATTAGGTGCTTTATAATAGTTTATTTATTTATCGAAAGATCATATCACACGCAAAGCTGGTCTATCACTAAGTAATGAAAGTATTTAGGTTACCTTACTAAAAAAATTGCATTCAGGATGATAAAAGATTTGAGAATTAGACCAATGTATAATGCAGAAGATGCTAAAACCACACGATATTCTGTAATAATAGATGAAAAACATAATTTTAGCATCATGTTTGTAATATATATTTATTAAAAGAGGTTACCGATCAAACTTTGAGTTAGAAGAACATTTGTAGATGAACCCAAAATTGGAAAGTTTGGATTGTGATTCTAAAGGGACATTGTTCAGGCTACCGATTAGAACTTTTAAGATGGCGGAACAAGTGTTATTTCAGATCAACATGTAGATATCTAAAAATTTTTGCAACTATTCATTGAAGAAATAGCACAAGTGGAGATGTTCTGAAGGAAGAATAAGTGTAGAGTCATCTCCAATTAGTGTCTATCAGTAAAGAGGTGCAATATATGAGAACTCACAAGATAAGCTATAAGATGCAAAGTTTATGAAGACACTTGAGCATGCTGATACGATCGAAATGGTAATCATAACAATACAACTTGATATACAAATCACTCAGAAGGGAAAAAGGATCTATAGCGTTATCTAACTGTATAGTATTCCATTCTGAAACAGCGTATTTGACGATATGCTCAAGTTCAACTCATATAACCGATTTTTGAATATAGGTTCGTGCTTAAGTAGATTTTTAGGATTTAGTCAATTAGAAATTGCGAACATTTGGGAATGCTAGATACAAGGTGGGGCTTTGGAGATGATAAATAGGTATATCTAATGGCAAAGCTACATTTAATTTAGTTTTGAATTCCTTAACATAATAAATGCAAAAGAACAAATTTTTATTCTTGCCGCATTAGCAGCAACAGGAATTGCCACAAAATTCATGTGTTTCATTTTATTAAATATACTAGGACTTGAAATTTTCGGTAATGAAAATTCTACTATTTGTCAAACATGTTCGATTTCAGACTAATATCGTAATTCCAACTATTATTGATGGGTACGCAAGGAAGTCCAGCAACAAAATATTCACTAACTTCATATAAACAAAAGCTTCGAACTTTTTTGATTCAACCATTTAAACGATCTCACCTATTCCAAGATTGAATATAATGTGAAAATTTTAAATTCTTAGAAATAATAGATGTTATTTCTTTATTTAATTTTTTTTATAAATGATGTCATTTTTCTAAAAAAAAAAAAAAAAAAAAAAAAAGCTATTTCAGATTATTTTCTTTAAAAAAAAAAAATCAATTTGGAGCGCCAAAAATGTTTTAAAATCCAATTCAATAAATTAACAAATAGGAGATTTTATCATATTATACTTGTTAATTGCTTTTTGATCACCTAGCATTTATCTGATGAATCTATATATTTATATCTTCATTAAGATCTATTATTATATTATGACTTATATTAACGTAACATCTTAAATAATTGGTGGATAATTTCATTGTTGCCGATCCTTAAGTCTTTTAAAAATTAGATTTATAAAGTTTGAAAAATTTAAAAAAATATAAATTCTAGATTGCAAATTTGTCTATGAAAACCGTTAATAAATTTAAAGAGATAATCATCATCTTTCAGTACTATATAGTCATTTGACTACCTAAATTATATAATGAATTTGCTATCTTTTAAAATCATTGAAATTTTTTAAGCGCAGCATATTTTTATAAATAAATTTACAGCAAATGTGAAATACAAATAAAGATTTTGATTTTTACAAATAGAAATTTAATATTCTTTAATAAGAAAAGACTCATAAATAAATAAAGTTGCTTATTAATCAAAAATTTTAAAAGAAAATATTTTAAATTTGCTAACAGGGTATACAATTTTCTCATTTTTCAATCCTACTATCGCTCCATTTATACTGGAAAGCCACCGGGGCGCCTGTGCCACAAAATTTCATTATTATTGAGTCAGCTATCTTTCTGAGTGACCTTTGTTTATAGTCATATCCCCTATTGCTTCTTGGTTATTTTCAAGCCAATGTAATCGATTGTTGAATTGCATCTTCAAGTTTCATCTTGCTTGCTAGGTTAAGATTACCAGCAACTTGTTCGCTCTATTTGATCACAGAAGATCTTAATTCGGAATTTTGATGTATAATAAATATTAAACTAAACGCTTACGTGAAGTATGTTACGTAATTCATATGCATAACTTTCCAAACGATTTCATGCTGGTATAATTTATGCAATTTTCTCATCATCTTCACGATTTCTCAGCTTCGACAACTATTATTTTCATAGTTTTGTTAGTAAAAGACTTTTACATAAAATATTCATCACAATATGATTACATGCCTATATGTTCGATTTCTTCGTTTGACAATCGACTTTGTCATACGTGATGGTCATATTATTCGATATTCCAGTTGTATTAGTTGTATTTCAGCAGCGGATACCTATAATTAATTCAAGTTAAAAGTCTATTATGAAAATGAGATAATAAATGTTGAATATCTAATACCGTTTGCATCAATATCAAACGTAACTTCGATTTGTGGAACAACCTTTGTTGCTGGATGAATTTAAGACAATAAATTCTTATCCTTAGTACGGGCACGTTCACCTTCATAAATTCGATTAAGCATTTCCAATTGATTTCAAAAATCTGTTGAAATAATTTCGGAATTCTTAATAGGTAGTATTACGTTAATAAGCGGTGACATGATACCGCCGGTAGTTTCAATACTCAGTGATAAAGCAGCGACATCGAGTAAAAGAAATTCTTGAGTCTTTTTAGAAGTATCAAAAAATGATGTTTAATGTTTTTTCCTCTACTTCGTTTCTTCTTCTTCGTATCAAGGTTCTTATTATCTTTTTGAATTAATGAGGAACCACTATAAATACAATAAATATAAATCACAACTTAACATCCTAAGATTCAATAAAACAATCTAAATCTTCTATCCACATTTGTTGGGATGATTCCTCCTAAGATCTTTCTTTCACGGCTTTTTTCTTCAATGATACTTTACTCCTGATACGTAGAAGAATATCAAGATATTCTTAAATCATAAAATAAAACAGTACTATTATATCAATGAGAAAATTACGCGCTCCACGCCGAAACTTTCATCAAATAATCATATGAGAATCATCAAAGTCAATAGCAGCTGCATCCTTATCGTCATCATCGTCCGTAAATCTTTCAAAGTAATGGACTCCAATAATTCAATAGTCGCAATTCTCGGAAGGTCTTCATTTAACAAATCGGCTTTATACTTGTACATATTCAAGTATCTATAATACGTTTGGAGACTAATTAATCGGTTTAAATTGTTAACGATTTTGCGAGGATTGTAATTTGGAATAAATGAACTCCAACTAATAATGATAAGATAAATCAATATATTATACGTTTTATGAAATACTAAATGGGAGGTTTGCTATTAAAATCGAGTTACGAACATAGTAAATCATATGATCCGTAACGTGATTTTAATAGCTTACTTCCCAAATGTACATAAACTCACCGGTTCCAATACCCTCGGATCCATAACAAGGATCATTGGCTGGATTGGCAAATACCATTCAGGTTCTACCAACTGACCATCATCATTATGATATGTTAGTAATGTGATTTCTTGCACCGGGCTAGAAATGATCCAAGAAAATTGATTATCAATGATCTTCAGAATACCATATCGTAATTCACGTAATAAAGTTCCAATCTAGAATAGCCCAAAGCAATTTGATAAAAATTATAAACAGTTCCTTTCATTCGGTGAGCTAATAAAAAAAGTCGGAAAATAATTAATATAAAAAATTATTAAATATGCAAAAACAATATTTAAAAGCGAGATTATTTACCGCCATGGAACTCCTAATACGTCAAAGATTTCCTGTTCTGTTTTTTGAGCAAGTAATTTTCCTTCATTATATTTGACTCCACCTTATCTACGCGAAAACATTCATATATAATCCATGTTGATTTAGACACATTTTCCTTTTTCTGGCCACCAATCTCATATTTCTATTGAATATATCATTACCAGTGTATGAAAGTAATGCGGCACCTATTTCATTATAAGATACTGTAAATAAATCTATTATGGAAAAAGAAAACAGATAGTCTAAGTCAACTGGTTACGTTATTGATAAAGATTCAATTTAAATAAAATATTGCATAAACCTAAACGTCTATGTATTCCTTCGGGCAATTACAAATTCCCATAAATTTTGCAAAAAGACTATCTCCATCATGACGTGTTAATTCATGTGTTAAGAATCCTTGATTACTTAAGATTTCAACCAATTTGGTTAAAACACCTAAATGGATTGAAATTTATTACGGTATAAAAATACAACTTTGAAATTTCAAGTTTGAATAATTACCAAGATGATTCTTTCCATCAGAATCATTCCTTGTGATCATTATATTAATATCTTCACAGACTGGACTTCCTCGTCCAAAAGATCCAGTTGTGATACATTCCAACTTGTAGTCAATAGAAAGTGCTGCACTTTTTACCCAATCCGAAATTTTTTGTACTTCTCTGGGAATTCGTTTTTGTAAATCCTATATATTAAAAATTCATTTTCTTTAGGAAAAAAGAAATAAAAAAAAAATTTGAAGTACGTGGAATAAATAAACTTACGTCAAAATACAATGAGTTAATTTTTCATTTTTCAATACGTCCTCAAAAGTTTTATGCCCTTTTGCGTACCACTTTATCGCAACTGATGATCCAACACCTATTGAATTTGACTTGTGCGATGAACAAAACTGAATTTTTTTGATTATGTTTTCACCTTTCGAGAAAGATTTATTCTCCTTAAGTTTTCGGTTTCAGCAACTGAGTAAAATATAATTATCGAAGCTGAGAAGATGATCATAAAGCTAATGTCTTGCTGGTTAATAATAACAAATATAAATAATTAAGATAATAAATTATTTTCTGATCCATACCTTCCAATATAAATCGTCCAAATATCCCATATAGTATATTTTGATTTTGTTAAATATGAAAAGTTTTCCGTTGATAGGAAGAAAAGTTGAGGCTCAAGTAACCAAAAAAAAAAACCAAGTTTACGAAGTTTGCGACCGAGAATCAGTCTTACCAGAAAATCCGCAACTCACCTATGGGAGAATTTGGTGGTCTAATATCATTCGATATTGTCCCAAGGAATCTAATGTTTTTGAACTCATACGGACATTTTTGAATTCTTTATCGTGCCAGACATGCACAACATTTAGTTTCCTGTCGAGTATTTTTCTGCAAGGCCAATATGGATCATTGACAATATTGTCCTCGCGTGAAAAATGCACGACCCAAACCTCCGATGGGCAAAGGTGTTCTGCATAATCAAGAACCCTTTCGAAATGCTCGTTTAAGATTGGTTGAGGCGCAGTTGCCAGAAATTCGAGCACAACTAGAGGATTTTGACTATCACTTTGTTTAATTACCAAATCACTATAATAGTGATGGTAATTCCCATCTTTACTGACTCCTTCCAAGTGCCATTGGCTGGTAATTTCAAAACCGTGTAACTTTGCTAACCAATTGTGCAGGATTCGATACATCTCTGCATCATAGACACTTTCCCTAGGAACTTTTTGATATTGCTCATAATCTATTTGTAGATGTTTTGAGCTTTTATACGAGCGGGAAGTACCTATTTCAATAGTATCCTTGTCAAAAGTATGTACGGCTGACTTTATCACTTCAAGGATATCTAATAAACCATTGGCTTTCAACGGCACATCTACGTCAGGAACAAAGCATGTCATTTCTGTGTTAATAGTAGGAATTATAGATGAAGTGCTTATTAATTCTGTCGCACTTCTCTTTTTTCCGTTATTGGACGATGACGATGCAGGTGACGAAGTGTTCCAAAAGCTATTATTAGCTTTGGAAACATCGGTCTATATAAAAGAAATTGAATGAGAAAATAATTCATAAAAGAATATCAGATAAAAAAAATTAAGCAAGATGGATGGCTGGATTTAAAAGGTACAAGAAAGAACCTGGCAAAGCCTCATCTGACTATAATCATATTATACTTACTTTTTTGCTTTTCAGGAGTTTCTTGGCAATATCGCGAACTTCTTGAGACATTTTTTCATCGTCAAGAATTGAACATAAGTTTCTATAAAAGGCAAAATGAGCTTCCTTTTTATCAACGTGCTCATAATTATTAACTAGTAAAGTTATGTAACTTTTTAGAGACCACTTTTCATATGGAACAAAATCAAAATATACCGAATATGGAATATTTACGACGGCTTCTGAATGTACGCGAAAGGTAAAGTTAGCTGCCATTTTCTAGAATTTAAAAATTTTAATATTAAAAAATCAGCAAATTAAAAAAATTTTGTAAGGATCAAATTTAGCCTTCGATATTTTTTAGATTATTATATCAGACGCGTCGATTAAAATCTAATGTGTTTTTGTTTATGATTGTCATGCAGCATCACGTTCGGTCGAGACACAAATCATATGATCTTTAACAAGAGTAAGATACAATATTATTAAATAAAATCGCCTACATATTTTTTTATTTGTTACTAGCTGCTAACCCGTTGCTTTGCAACGGAGTAGATCACGTGATGTTAAACACGAATATTTGTGTAACGTTATGCAAATTAACAGTTTATTATACATGTAATCTAAGCGTAACCATTACACACATTTTTTTATTATATAAGATTAAATCTAATTACGTATTACATCATCTTTTTTAAAAACTTTTGTCTATAGGGACGGTCTTTCTCTCTCTCCCCCTCCCTCCTCCTAGACCTTGTACTTCGAAATGATTGAAATTTTAACTTAGATGGCTTGAATTCAAATGGTAAGTTCAAAATTCTTCCTTTTTTTGTCTTGGAAATGTTACTAACTTTCATTTTACTTCTTTTCTTTAGGGAATGCCTTTTGGATTTCAGCTGAGCTATAAAAGTAAGTTGGTATTTTTGTTTTTTCTTTGTTATTAGAAATGTCATTAATATTTCTTTTACTTCTTTTATTTAAAGGATACCTTCCTGGACTTGATTTCAGCTTGGGCTATAAAGGTAAGTTAGTGTGGTAATTGTTTTTGATTTTCTTTGTCTTTAGAATGCTATTAATGTTCCTTTTACTTCTTTTCTTTAGAAGACATTTTTTTGGATCTGATTTTTGGTTTAAATTATAAAATAAGTGATTTGAAAAATTGTTTTGTTTCTTCTTTGTCTTTAAAATACTATTGACATTCCTTTTGCTTCTTTCTTATAGGATTTTTTATTTTTCTTTGTTTTTAAATGCTATTAACATTTTTTTGCTTCTTTTCTTTAGTAAATGTCTTCTTAGACTTAGATTTCAGCTTAGATTATAAAGGTAAGTAGTATACAAGATTATTTTGTTTCTTCTTTATCTTTAAAATGATAACATTTTTTTGCTTCTTTACTTATAAGTTTTTTGTTTTTCTTTATCTTTAAAATGTTATTAATATTTTTTTTACTTCTTTTCTTTAATGAACATCTTTTTAGATCTGAATTTCAGCTTAGATCATAAAGGTAAATAATGTAGGATATTGTTTTTATTTCTTTTTTGTCTTTAAAATGCCATTAAGGTTCTTTTTACTTCTTTTTTTAAGAGAATACCTTTCTAAACCTGGATTTTAGCTTAGATTATAAAAGTAAGATGATATGAAGGATTATTTTTGTATCTTTATCTTTGAAAAGCTATTATATTTCTTTTACTTCTTTTCTTGTAAGTTTTTTTGTTTTTCTTTATCTTTTTAATATTATTAATATTTCTTTTACTTCTTTTATTTAGGAAAACATCTTTATGAACCTGAATTTTAGCTTAAACTATGAAGGTAAATAATGTAAGATATTGTCTTTGTTTCTTTTTTGTTTTTGAAATACTATTAATATTTCTTTTGCTTTTTTTTTTAGAGAACATCTTCTTGAATCTGGATTTTAGCTCAAACTATAAAGATAAGTTGATATAGAGAATTATTTTTACTTTTCTTTAACTTTAGAATATCATTAATATTTCTTTTGCTTATTTTCTTTAAAAAATATTTTCTTAAACTGTAATTTTAACTTGAATTATAAATAGTATGTTATAAATAGATAAATTTTACTTTTTTTGATTTAAGAATAATATTATAAATATTTTTTTGATTTTTTTTTATAGATGTAAAATTTATACAAATTTTATTTTGATTTTTTTTTATAGATGTAAAATTTATACAAATTTTAAATAGCAAATTAAAAAAGGAAAGATCAATTTTGTAAAGCAAAAATAGTAACTTAATTAAAATATTCTATAATATTTTTATATAAAATTTTTGTTTTATTTAACTAGATTTTTAATCATGGCTGGCCAGAAGCCAGCCTTAATTAATATTTGAAAGTAATATATATATATATATATTATATTTAATATTTATAAGTATCTTCATTAAATTTGCTGAAATATATATTACATATATATAGATTATGATATTTTATTAAATTGGAAGTGATTATTATGCTTTTTGTTTTAGATAAGAATATTCTTTAATTATATTTAGATCTACTATAAATGAATTTTTATCTAAATTTATTATTTGAACATGTTGCCATTTTGAATATCTGCTGATTGCTGTATATACTTGACCAGGTGTAAATAGTTAGCTAAGATCTATTAAAATAAAATGTAAGGTAAGACCCTATGTTTTATAAACTATTAAAGAAAATGAATTTTGTAATAGAAACTGTATTCTAAATGCATGTTGACCCTCTGAATAAAGTAGGATGTTTCTCTTGTAATCCTTCTTTGAATAATTGCATCATGTACACAAAATGCTATTTGTACACTTGGTTGTTATTTATCTATATCAGTGATTACACTGATAGTTCTATTGCATATATCTTTTTTATTAATAAGTTATTTAGATATATAGCTCGTGCATCTTATTGAAGTCTAACTATTGGTGGCATATTTATTTTTGTTTTAAATTCTATTTGAACAAGTTCTGGTGATACTTATTTATCTTCTATAAAATCTATAGCTTCTGCTAATAATATTTTTCATTATTAATTAGAAGTAGGTTGCAAATTATGTTATTGATTTGTTTTGATATTTCATAATATCAAACAATATGTGTTATTATTAATAATGAATCTGAAAATTGATTATTATTATAATTTGTAGCTTTTTCTATAAATTTTGTTCAGGTTGCATTTGATATTTTTCCAAATCTAATTTCTTTCAACATTTTATAAAATTCATTATCTTCATTATGTCTTTAGAATTTATACAAAAATAAAGGATGAAATAATTGCCATATTGATAAATAAAATACAGCTTCACCTCTTTCTGTGAAAGTTGTATTAAATCACCTGCAACTATTATACAGATACCTTCAAATGCTATATCAGAATTGTGAATTTTAGCAAATAAATCAGAAATAAATTAAATAATAAAGCAGAAACCATTGATATTTCATCTATAATTAATACTTAAATTTTCTATAATTTTTTTTTAATTTCAAGATCATAAAAAGTCAATGATTAATAGTCTGATTCTATTTGTATTATTCTAAATGCAGAATGAATAGTAAATCCTCTAACATTTTATGTAGCTATTCCTGTTAGTGCTATTAAAAGTTAAGACTTCTTTTTGATTTTATCCAATCAATAATTAATTTTGTTAAATATGATTTTCCAGTTCTATCAGATCCTGTAATAAAGAAAATTGTATATTTTTTATATTGTGATATTAGTCTAAGAGTAGATATAATTATATTATATACAATGTATTATTCTTCTGGTAAGTTTAACATTACATTTGACAAAAATGTTGATGGTATTAATTTTAAATTATCTAATTATTTGATAAGAATTTTTGATATTTGTGGAGTAATTTTGCCTTCAAGGTTTTCTAATATATTAGTTATGATTGTATTAAATTGATTTTGTAATGAATATCTGTTTTCTTCTACTATTATATTTATAGAACTTTGAATTGAATTCTGAAAATCTGAATGTAAATTTAAATATTTTTCTTAATAAGATGTAACATTACCAAGTAATTCATCTTCTGATCTGCAAGGTATTATTAGAAGTAATTGTTGATAAAAATATAGTTCTCCATTCTGAATTTTAAGTTGTTTATAATGTATAATTAATGAAGATGTTCTCTTAACAACATAATAGTTTAAATCATTTTTGTAAATTTCATTATTTAAAGGTTTTTTGATTAATAATATATAATTTTTAAAATAATTAGGATAAGTTATATTATTAAATTATTCATCATGTAGATGTGTAAAATATTTTTCAATTGTATCTTTTCAATATAAATCATAATCATCTTCTAATATTGTTAATATTGGTCTTATTGCACGTGAACGAGTTATTAGTAGTTCAGTAGGTAGGTATTTTACTTTTTACTAAGTAATAAAAACATACACTCTATTGAGCTTAATCATTGAGTAATTATATACTCATGATATTTATCACCTTTTATTATATTAAATATATATGAAGATTCTGATTTAACAATATATTTAGTTAAATATTTACCAAGATTTTTAATACTCATATATTGTATATTCATGTGAGCATTCCATAATAAAAGTATAGGTGGATGATAAGGAATTACCTATCTATCCTTTTCAGTTATATATCAATATATATATTTAGATTCTTTAGTATTATAATATGTAATTGGAGAATATAGTTGAGGAAAGTTTTTTTTGCATGTTTAACCTGAAAATATCAGTTCACCACACTTTCTAGTATTACATGTATGAATTTGATGTATTAATACTAATTGGTAAAGTCCTGATTCAAAGTTTTGATTTGATAAATCAGATCTAATTAGATTTTTTACTATCATTTTTGTTATACTTTTTTCAACCCAAAGTATTGAATGTGTATGTGATGCTCCTTTATTTTGAAATTCTATACATTCAAAAAAATGATTAAAATGATTCTAATTGCTATTTGCAGGTTTTTTTCAAATATGATTTCAAACTTCTTTTTTGCGATATATAAAATGTAGAGCTATATCTAATGGTCTATTTGTCAGTATTGTATTTTTATTATCTGTAAATTTTAATATCTTTTTTAAGTGAGTCCATTTAGATTTTGCTGCAGGTAAAATAATAAAAAGTGATGGTAATTTATATTCTTTTATCATAACATTTACGTGTAAAGTTTTTCATTAAAATATGTATCTTCTATTCATATAAATAATAGTAATATAATTGTTTTTGTTTCATCAATCATATATTTTTCTGAATATATACTATGTATAATAAGTTCAGAAGCTGTTGATAAATAATATATTTT